TACAGCCACATATCACAGTACTCATAATAATGATAACCATCCTAGAGATGAGATGACGAAGCACCCATAAATGACATTTGCGTGTTATTCTATATAGAACCAAACGCGATACAACTTCATAAGGTGATCCGTTACGAATAACTATGTATAAAGCCGGTGGCTGGATACTAATTAGATACGAGTTTTGTTTTTGTAGATAAAACAGATAACTTAAGGTTGATTGTAATAATAGTAAGGCATACACATATGGACTGATTGAAGCAAGATGCATCTAAGCCATTTCGAAACATTAGCAAGTTAAGATCATCAGATATATTATGCTTAGCATCCATTTATGAAGAAATTGTAAGAAAGTATAGCAGATATATAGATAGAGCTTAATAAATTTTAAATTAATAGTTTAGTAATAAAATTATTATCACTTCCCCATAAAATAGCGATCATTATAATGCAACAAACATTTCAGCAGTTGCTATTTTGACTATATTTATCTATCATAGATTATTAGAATTCATGCTACACAACACCAGCAGAGCTATGCTGGTACCGATTTCAAGTTTAACTTGAAGCATTGCTTCTGTTTGCTGGTAGCTAAACGTTGGGATACTTATATTAGCGAACACATAGCTTATCGATTATTGCGCCTACGACAGTTGTAGATACTGATGACAAGTTCAAAAAAAAAAAGCCCATAAAGTAATGACCCAAACGACAAAATTATTTTCATACCACCCAATCGATTACCGAAACACACGAATGAGTTGTTATCGTTGCTAAACTTTTGACGTATTTTGTCTAAAATCGTCAAAAGAAATTTTTCTCTTACTAGTTTTATTTTGTAATGGCTACCTCAGCAAAGGAAAAATTACTTCTACAGTTAATATTATTATGCTGGTCACTTGATCGTCCTGTGTTTTTTCTGAACCTAACAGATTATGCATGGTAGATATACTCCTAACCATAATCATCATTGATTCAAGTTTGCCACCCTAAAAATGCTGATCCGAGTTTCTTTTTGCTAGTAAATCAACAACTACCTATGTGAGCTATCAACGTATAGCTAGTTAGCACTGGGCATGTGATGAGAGATATACTGACCAAAAATAACGGCAGCCGCAAATAGCTCGATACTATTTACTTGGACTAATATGACGGAGATAGCTAAGGGCAGTCAAGATTTCCCAGAAAGCCTCCTAAAGAGGAACATTCAGACAAGTTTAGCAAAAAAAACTGCTACCGTAATTATTGCTAAACTTGTATGATCGTATCCATCGATAGAGAAACGTTTGCTTTACAGAATCGCATACAATACAGATAGTTAGTTTCCCGAATGACTATATATTTCAAACTTTTATGTCCACCTCTTGCCGGACAGTTTCAAATCAACCTGTCGCACACGGTTAGTAACTTAACAGAATAATATAGTAAAACATTTATTTGTTACTACAGCATACAATAAAAATATAAAATACATACCTGTAATTTATATATACAATGTACGAGGTTATATATATATACAATAAAAAAAATGTGTTATATATATATATATATAACCTCAAACATCTTTTATGTTTAAAAGGCTAGCGACGACGAATATTCAAATTTGTTAACTAATATGATTTGACTACAACATTTATAATTTTTTTTTCCTCAAAAAATCCTCATAAGCGACTTTCCCAATTGAAAAAGGGTACCCATTTCTCGTGGGCAGGTGCGTAATATATCACTGCATTGATGAATCAAAAAACTTGGAACAATTCTACGAGACGAATAAAGACGCTTATTCAGCGTCTAGGCCAAAACATTTACTACCGCTTGAATAACAGAAGTCTAAGTAATAATTATTCCGACCTTCGTCAAATTCTATATTGCTATGATATGATGAATCTACAAGAATTGAGCTGCTTAGACAGATAAATGGACGGATCACACAAAAAGGCCGAACAAACGCCTCTTTGTTGTCGTTGCCTTTTTTACTAGGATATTTTATTTATGATACTAATTACAGTGGGTCTGTGTGAGATTCAGCTGGACAATAGCAAACGGCCAACAATGGACGATCGAATAAAGGCTCCTGATAATTGAGACAACGTTTCAGTATTTGCAACCGAACGTCTACTTAAAGGATGACTCTTCTCTGTTATCCAAGCCATATATCTATATGAAAGAGCGGACGATTCACCTTGAAGTGAATAGATTTTACCCTTAAGGTCATAGCAACGCAATATATACGTCATTCAAACCACAGAGATTTTTCGAGTAAGTGTTGAAGGCAGCCAGACATAGAAACAAACAGAAAGTACTCTTTACAAGCTAAACGGGACCGTTGTTGTTTCTAAATATGTACGGATAAAATCGTGGGTGGTTCATTTTCCAAGGACTCATCGTTAAAAGAACTAGTGTATCAGAAATGTTCTTTTCAAGATCCCGAGCTGTGCTTGTCGTAAAGAGGACAACTACCGCCAAAGTTTTCTAAATAGTGCTAGATCGCTGATTTTAACACATACGAAATTGACTTTTACAGAAAGCTACCGATCTAAAATAAAACACACATTGCTCGAAATCAGGGCCTATCAGGGCCGAACCTTCACTAGATCTACGTTGTGTAGCAGATGTCAATAATTACAGACAGTTAACTCGAACCCAACAGTGATTCAACGGTTCCAGCGACAGCGAACTACTCGACCATTAAGATACTATCAGACTCTTCATCTTTCTTAATCTGAATCTGATCGAAATGCCTTGTTTTATGCAAGTTCATCTGACACTGTATACTACTGTTACTATTATTTTCAGTGACATAATGGTTCTGGTAATGCTGCTAGTTTGTAGCTTTGAACAGGGATATTTACGGTTGAGCAGAGTCAACTTATTTCGACTCGACGAAGGATGAGTCCGTTATGCCGAATTTTTTTTTAACTTTAGCGCCACAAGTTTCTCTTAGCGCGGCCGCCGCCGCCGCCGCCGCCGCCGCCGCCGCTGCTGCAGCAGCGGGAACTATAATAACAGCTTTAACCCTCTGTTACATCAGATTCGCACACGCAAAAGAACGCACAGAACACAAAGGGGATGACTTCTAACCGAATTAACAGACGCGTCTATAGAGTAATGTAATCGAGCGTATTATCGCGACGCCACGTCAGACTGTCCTCAGCCTTTCTATGATCATCAGTCTGTGTAATTATTATTGTTAATATCAGCCTTCCTCAATCTCGCCAGCACGTTCTATCCCTTAAACAATCCCATGTTTTGCCCTTAGTTACAGTGTCAGATTGGTCGTTGTTTGTTATCGTGCCTCATTATTCGTATCAGTCGGCGCATCTGCTTCTGCGGCTGTTCAGTGATTTCATAATCAGACAGACGATGGCGGTGATGAACCGACGACGGCTGTCCGTCGATACGCACTAGTTGATAAAGCGAACGTGTTGATAAATTGTATAATAGCGAAGCCAACAATAGGCAAAGGAACGCCGTCTGACAGCTCGGATCATCGCGGCCAATAGAACTCACTAATGGTGAGAGACTGGTCGCTTTGTTACTGTTCGTGTTTTTGTTGCTCAGCTCGTGCTTTTGTTGCTGTTGCCGCTGTTGTGGTTTGCAATTGTTGTTAGATATTAGCAATAGGGTTTGCGTCGCGTAAGCGAAACCGTAGAAAAGCCGAAAAATGACGAGGGGTAGGCGGCCGAAATTATCAACGGCTATTGTAGCCACTGTTGCTATAGCCGTAGGTCTGGTATAATTCTTCCTATTAATTTGGTGCTATTACCCAAATGCTATGATACATCGGCTAGTCAAAAGTAGATAGAACAGAGTGAAGTAGTCTCCACTGTCATGATGAGTTGAAATTGTAGTATATAATAGCATCCATAATAATAAGGAACGATGTTGTGTCCTGATTATGGATAGACATGGTCCAAGCAGATATTATTGAGAGCTATATGCTGTTTGATTGCATGCGAACGGCAATGTTCTACCGTATTTGTTTTACAACAAGGTACTTCTAACCGTGGAATCACTGAGTGGTATACTTGGTGACAGAGACGGAGATGCTGGCAGAGACCTGTTGCATGCATATTTAATCAATTAAAGAAAGGCGGTCGCAGTGCAACGGTGGTTCTGTCACACTAATAAGCCGCGTCTTAACAAAACAACTTCATATAATTCCAGTTCCTTTAATGAAATTCGTTTCGTTTATAGATATCTGGCAAAAAGTATGCGTACAGGGAAGTTTTGCGATTTACCTAATAGTTACTTCATTCGCTATATGTATGTATCATAAAAGAATTTTTTGTCCTATACGGATATGACCGTTTACATCTTACTTAGACACTTTTATTTATTTTTAGTAAATAATAATAAAACTTAGATTAGAATCGTTAAAATCAGTGGGGCGAAGCAATCGTCGTACAAAAAAAAGAATTTTACAAAGCAACGTCCTCTTGCGCCTTACACCAACACGACCTTAATTCCACCCAAACACAATGACAATATTATAGCTCACCTGGACGCACGGCCATGTTTGCTAGCTATCTGGTTTACAAGTTTCATCACTTCCGAAGCAACACATAATTATTCGACTCGGTGCATTTCATCGCAAACTTTATTAAGCGTCAGTTCTCGTAAACGTATATTACCAACCGCTGACCAGCAAGTCTGCTTAAGTTACAATTTACGTGCGTTTGTTAAAGATGTACACAAGATAATTATTAAGTCAAAGTAATATCATATTTCCAGGGCTTCGTAGCAGGGCTCCTCCGCAGTTTCGACATAATTGCTTTAAAATATGACATCAATCAGCTAAAAATACATGCCCTGTATATTTGATTATACTGCAACCACAAGCTATACTCGCTTCAATCCGTTATGTACATTTTTCAAAGGAAACTAGTATTTGACAGCCTTTTGTAACGGATTGATCTATATCGTGTCGCTTTGGGTTAGCTTCTATAATAGTCCACCTTCAAACACGTGCTAATATTTAGGTTTTTGCTGCCTTTTAGGGGATCCAAATTTTTGGCGGAAAGAAAGCTTTAACGCCCTCAACCATCGCATTAATCGCCGTTTGAATACCAATGTAGCAAAGAACATTATCTTCTTTCTGGGAGACGGCATGGGTGTGTCAACTGTCACTGCGGGGCGGGTGTACAAAGGCCAGAAGGCGCGTCGCTCCGGAGAAGAAAGCGTGCTTAATATGGACACCTTTCCTTACACCTCCCTCTGCAAGGTATTCTGCTCGTAAGCAAATAATTAAGACGTAGTATTGCTAAAGATGATGTGAAATAAATATTCATATGAACTGCAACATGTAAATCTTGTCTACAATCTGGCATGAAGATGACACACAGATCCAATGTTCAATTTGCAATTTTTTCGGTCGGCGATTTTACTGATGACCAACAATGATCAAATTTTAGTTACGTCACACCTGACCTGGTGTTTAATCATTCGAGGTCACTTAGACTTCGCGATGTCCGTCTGGACCAGTGGTAAGCGGCACTAGTAAGCGAGGAACTCGAAAGCATCTAGAATGCCTTTGCAACAGTCTGCTTAATAAACGACAGTCAATACAAACAAATAGCGTATATTTCTTAGCACTCCTCCAAGTCAAGGCAGGCCGATACATTTCTTTATAGGCTTGCGAGATTCAAACAGTTATTTATATAGAATTATATTTACTTACTCACATTATTTTTAGGTCGATCGTTCTTTCGGGCTTTATCCAAATGTTGTCTAGAATCACTATATATGGTAATATATTAGGCTTCGACATAAATGAGGCCGTCTACTTAATGTTCCCTTATAACTGTGTAGTATTTATTTAGTTCTACTTACTTTTCAAGAGGTAGTTTCTCTGTTACGTAACCTGATTGGGATTTCATTGTGATAAACGAACTTTATTGCCACTTCAAGCTCTAAAGAATGATGTTGTTGGTTAAAAAAAAGTATATTTTCGATATTTATTGTATTTTGCCTTTTACCGAGATTGAGCCTGCCAAAGGGGCCCAAAATATTGGCGTCGTTTATGGCAAGGACTCTATAGCAGACAAGACTGCTGGAAGGGGTCTGCTTCGCTCGAAAACAGAGTCTTAGACTTGGAAGATGTATCCCACTTCAGTCGGCCGTATAAGGTCGAGGAGAGGACCTCGTATAACAAAGAACCCTTAACATTGCACCCGTCACAGGCTAACGTACAGCCACAATAGCACGTTTTAATGCAAAGTTCTTAGGGGTGACAAGGAGTAATGCTCCTATATGAATATGAAGGAGCAGGAGGATAGATAATTCCGGGAGAGAAAAGGGTACGGCTAAATTACCATACAAAAAAAAACATAATTTGCGATTCGTTAAGACAGGAAGGGTTTTGAATGTCATTCTTTTCAACGGCAACATCAGGCCATACACTGTCAGGGTCTTCAAAGCCGTGCTTTCAGAGCTTGGGTAGGGGCTTTTTGCACCTACCATACTCTTCAGACTTCGTGCCGACGGGTTATCTTTTTTTCCGATTTGTAGCGAATTCAGTTCAAAATAGTACGTTTGATAGTGATCAGGGTCTCTGAGACAACGCCAAACTTGAACACCTTTGGCGAGAAAGAAAAAAAAGTTACTTGATAGAATTCAAGACTAATGTAAAAAAATGTATATACGGCGCCTAAATTGGGACAAACGATTTATCGTAGTTGACATGCGTTGATCCGCCCTTGATCCTAGAAGAAAGGCAGTTCCTTCGAAACGATAAAGTCGCGAAAGACGAAACGATAAAGTTTCGGCGATAAGAAGTAAAGCATTCAATATCTTCATTCATTCAAAAAAACCAAAAACCCCTTTTATTGCCCAAAATTGATGATCCACGCTACTGTCGGTTTCTATGCGGCTTTTAAAAATCAGATAAACCATTCTTACTAAACTTTAGATTTAAAACGGACAAACAGACATTTTTGATACACCCGGATTTTCTGTACGTACATGAATGGCCATGTTAAAGGTAAAAAAACAATTGTCGATAGGATCGTTCATATGAACTCCAATGGCTAGTCTTTTTGAGACTTTTTACGTTTTTTTTTTGTATACTTTGGGCTTTTTTGCCATTTCAAACTCCTACGTTTCTGAGGTCTCTGGTCCGCTATCAATTCTGAATGTGACTTTGCTCTAGTGTATTTGAGCGAAACTTTACGGGAGTTTATATTTACCGACATTATGTTGACGTAGAGTTACTATTAAATAAATATTTGCGCCTCAAAACAGCAATATTTAAAAATGCCAAGTGAGTGGTTAGGTACTAAGTTGAATAAGATGTAATAAAAAGTTATTAAGTGAGCAGACATCGTTTTCTTAAACTACGAGTTTTTCACTGCGCAAATACACAAATGTATATCCAGCTAAGTTAATGTCACTTAATAGGTTTTTGATAGTTTTCAATAAAGAGGCAAGTAGTTTTCAATAAAGATGCAAGTAGAACGACAAATTATCTACTCCACTCAAGGCAATGCCTGCCAAATAGATGCTGATGATCGTTGGAAAATATATTGTGTTAAGTGTTTGTTATCTCGGTCCACATCGTAGTACCCTATCAAACAGTAGGGCATCTGTTGCTAAGTTGGAACCTTTAAAATTGAAACTTATCAGTGTATTGATGTACAAAAGCGTAATATTGCTTAAATTCAATTTAAAGGGATTCTGGGCACAGCTCGGACGGCCTTCGTTTCGTTGTCGGCATTAGGTATCTTTGTCTGCGTGCAACAAGCGGAGAGGAAAAAGTTTCCTGTTTCTTAACTGGTCCCCCATACAAGCCAAAAATCTGAATGCAGGCACTTGACATCCGCATATTTTTCTAAAAGCTTCCAGTATCCTAACCTATAATTTGTAGAGAAAATCATTCGTATAGATCTCCACTTTTGTTCGAGCAGAGCGCCACCTCCGCCCTGACATGAGTAGCAGTGATCATTACCGAGCAAGCGACACTTGACTTCTTCGGTGAATGATTTACGCTTTCACTAAGTAGTCTAGTGACAGTGTAATAGGAATTGAGCCGGTAAACACTGCGGTTTCGTCAACTAGGCTATAGGACATGCAGGTATTCTATCAAGGTCTTCGTCTAAGATAGTTGATAATCGATCTTGTGAGGCGCAAGCTGCTAGCGACCAGTCTTTTGAGGCTAACAATTCACAAAGGGAAAGCACGGGATAGATAGTCTGGCCAAGCCCAACAAAGACGCGCCCACATAATAAACAAGTCAAGCATTGCCTTCGACACGAACCTACAGTAATAATGAGCCGTTATCATTATTTCCTTGCAATTCGTTAAATTCATCATATCTCCTGTTAAGAGTTTCGTCAACATTACAACTAACATAAACAAATCTGTATTTCTTTAATACTTAGTTTGAGATATAGTAAGATGAAAGTATCTAGCACAATTCAAGTGAAGATAAGCATAGACATAACCTTGGGGTTAACGTAAGGGATGCGACCGATCCTCAGCCCCTGACTTCTTCAGCGACTTCCAAGCGTAAACTCTATTTGCGCAAATTGACAAGGAACGATACTCCAGCTACAGCATATATGAGCACAACCTAATAGACACAAATACCAAACTTCATCGTCTTAGTATTAGCGCAATTTAGTCGTGTTAAGCAATAGTATTACGAAAGTTAATTTTAGTTCGATAGATATGTATGGTAGCAAAGATTAGATACTACTAGCGGTCTAAGTGGTAAAAAAAAAGCTTCAACAGTAAACAGAAGTTCGTGCAGGCTTGTGAAAGAAACAACGCATTGGAGTACTCGCATTATTACAGGCTGTATCACGACATATTGCCAGGATATTGAATATGGGAAACCAGACGCACCTCATCCGCCGTAATTTAAAATTGAAACACGATCGATTTACTGAAAAGTAGTACAAATTGAAATGATTCGTATATTAGTTGATGGTACAATTTACTGGGCGTCCGAAGTGTTTTTGACACGCTAAACGAAACTAACCCAAACATAGGTATAAACAAACCCCAAGCTGATATAGAACCTTGCGGTGCATATAGCTACTAACGCTGTAAAAAAATTAATCATGTGATAGGTCTTCAGTAAAGTGGCAATCGGGTTTGATAGCCAAGTGGAAAATAGGATAATCATGAACAAATTGCTTTTGTCTAAATGGCTGCTTATTTGGTAAAGTGCAGTTAAGTTAAATCTATGACAAAGTTAAACAAATAGCTCACGACCCCAGCGATGTTTCAGTATATTTAAGGGTTATGAAGATAGATGAGGTCGGCAACAAATCGGGGCCATTCCTCTAGGGCCGAAGAAAACGTGCGGCGTGCAGATTTTTTCTTAATTGTTTTCTAAATTTCTCAAACTTTCAAAAAACATCTTCTCTCTTATGTTTTGGGTCCAGTTGCCTCCTTCTCCTATTGGAATACGTATAAGCATTCTATTCGAACCAAAAAAACATATCACGTTGGCGACTTTAGCTAGGAATAGCTAGAATCAATGAGCAGAAATAATTGACGCAGAGAGAAAAACAGTTAGATTTAGTCAGCATAAATCCAAATTGATATCCAAAATGTATATATTCACCCGTTCTTCTTGAAGCAGAGAACGACCATTGCTTACGCTTTCATATTTTTCTAAACGGCACCACGAATTAATGTTGCTTCATGACGAAATGGGCCCAACTCTAACATTTCAATACTCAAATGAAGTCATGCAGGCACAATATGGTATACAACATGTAGATGGATCTAACACGGATACGGCAACAAAAAGACGTCTTGTCCTAAACAATTCAACGACTGCACCATTTTAAACTGGAATTAGACATTTCATTTGTAAAACTGATTATGTTTGTAGTGTAAATAAATTTCTAATGAAGCTTTGTCAAAGACTCGTCGTTTACGATGCGACAAGGAAACGATAAGTTGTGAACCTGAACGTCAGTATTATACTGTGCTTTACAAGGATCTCGATCAAATACGACAGTTGAAACTTTTCAAAAGCAACACCGTCTGTGTTTTTCATCAGGATACCTCAGAAGGATCTACTACTTTAAGTAAGAAAGAAACTGAATGCAATAACAAAGTTTATATTGAACTAAATCAAGCTTCAATGTAAGTTTATGACAACAATAACTATTCTATATTTGGTATCCACATCTTAAATTTAAACTATAAAACTACGTTTACAGAGGAAGTTAGACGACCCATTATCATAAAGTATCGGCCATTGTATGCTCGTAATAAAAAATTGTAATACTTCTGCTGCTAACGACATCAAGTAGTGCCGTTATCTTCTTAGTCCTCATGCAGGCGATTATGAGAATTAATTATCGATCTATTTACTGCGCTGCCATGACCATGCAGCCAGTGGCATACCATCAATATTGTTTAGGTTCATATCCTGGCTGAGGCGGTCGATGATTAGTTTGCTAACCTTCCTAATCCCGCTCCTCGGAGAGTACCAGACCTCATGTATCGTGCCGACCCTGCTTGATCCCACGTTAGGTACGTGCTCTTGGACCGGCCCTGAACGCGCACACTCACGTACACATGTACGGGGAAGCTGGGCACAGAAAACTGCGCGCACATCGAGCACAGATTTCTGAACTCCTTTAATTCCAACGCAGCAAGTAAAAAAGAAAGGAACAGCATAGAGAAAAAAAATAGTTATCTGTTAATAAATTGAAACTAAGTAAGCGATATAATACGAATTAAGGTAAAACGCTATTTAACATTCACTCGGTTATGTGCATTAGACCTATTGCGTGGATCGCCAGACAACGGATTCAGCCGCTTCTGCAACGGCCTACCTATGCGGAATCAAAACTAATATGGGAGCGTTAGGCGTAACTGCTAAGGTAAAGCCTGCAAACTGCGAGGCCGCAACTGACGAGTCCAACCAAGTCGACAGTATAATGGCATGGGCTCAGAAAGAAGGAAAATGGACCGGTAAGCTGAAGCGCATTGTTGAAACGCTCACAAAAATTGTGAAACCTTTCTCTGGGAACTGATCCTTTCGTAATGTAGTAGGACCACGGAAGAGGATATCAAATAAAAGCGTGTTTTTTGTATGTCAACAGCAAGAACCCTGTCTAAAGACCTATTGCGTTTGGCATGGTGGGAATAATTTCGATTAAATCATAGATCAGTACTATCGAAATACTTGCCTGACGACAGTTTAAATAGTTTATAAACGAGCTGGATAATTCCTTGTGTGGCCAAAGTAAAAAAAAAACTATCATTCAGTTCATATCATCTCATGACCTTATTTTGTCTTAGAGCTTTGTCTCGAATCTAGGTAAAGTTGACGTAATTACTTTTTGCGTAAGAAGCTATATAAATCAATGGTGTCACCCGTTGCCATCAAAACCCGTTACCCGTTACAAAGACAGCATTAACTGCTTATTGTTGTTGCGCCTTGCAGGGATCGTAACGACCGATCAAGTCGTAGGAGCGTCCCCCGCAGCGGCTTACGCTCACGCCTCAAGTCGTTCATTTTACAGTGAGGTTGGTTCGTTGGACTCATCGTAGGCCCATTTAGGGCAAATACTCGAGCACGTATGTGTTCTATCGAAAAGTCTATGTCTCCAAATAATTATCATTAAATTTCACTATAATAACTATTTCAGGTACCGGAAGGCTGTTCTGCAATGGATATCGCTCAGCAACTGATTCACGGCAAACCTGGCTCAAAATTTAAGGTATGTTTCGAAAAGTTTGGTGACAGAACTTATTTTCGAACAAGATAATAATGCACTCGTTTAAGGACCTATATAGTCGTTTGATTGACTTGTTCAATTAATAACGGAATTCATTAGATCGTTGTCAGTTTTTTGGAACTGCACGGTCTACAATATGAAAACCCGTTTTCTATCGCGCCAAAGCTTTCACTATATATATATATATATATATGAAAGGCGTAAGTACGTCGGTTTCGTTAAACTCATTACCATCAATTCAATGGACCTTAACAACTAATATATCCAGCGGCAAGTTCTTAAATGAGTATTCTTTTGTCCTTACAGTAGGTTGAAGGCCGAGCCAATAATTACAATACAAAGTCAATCAGAATATACTCTTATTTTTCAGCCCATTTTAAATGTAAGTAATTTTTCCTACTAAATTATTTTGTTTGGTCTCTCCATTTTTTACCGTTCAGTCAGTAGCCGGGTTCCTCGGCAGACGACTGGAGCATTCGTGGAGGGAACGTCACAGACAACTAATTTTTGGGCTTCTGCCTATTGTTTTCACTAATTTTCTATTTGAAAGCCTAATGGACTTTCATTTGGGCTAAAGTCGGGGTTTTACCTTATTTTTTTTTTACCTGTGAAGATAGTTTTACAAAGTTCATGTGAATCGCACATTTATGTCTTAATGACCTTTCCTAGCACATAGAGGCGATTTAGAACGTCGCGGTAATTAACTAGCTACTGTATAGGGAGCTTCTGAGTTGAGCGAACTAAACTCGGCCAAATGTTTACGTAATAGAGCCTGTAATCTACTGCGATTAACTTCAAATTTCGATTCCGAATGTGCTTTTTGGGTATTTTTTTTAGGTCTCTAGTTCTAATGCTTTAAAGTTCGACATTTGTAACCGCTGCCATGTACTGCTTATCTGGATTCGCTGTCACGCACAATCCTCGTTGTCTCAATTGTCATTTTCCTAACGAGTTGGGGGAGCTAAGGTGAAAGAGACGAAGTTTCATAGGCAGCCTTTTGGTCGCACAATGTAACAGCATAAAAAAACAGTTATTAACAAATTGATATGACGCTAAAGCAACGCAGACCTATTCAAGAAACTAGCGAGTCGTATTTGAGACGAGTCGATAAAAACAATAAAGTAATAATTTTTCATCCAGTCTAACCTAGTATGTTTGGAATATATAATTTGTAACATACGCTACCTTACTGCGATAACGCAAATAGCAAAAACATTAGCATTTACCAACACAGCATGTTAAATATTTAGCATTTTATTAATATATATGTGGACTAACTTAGTTTTGCCGTACGCATCGAGGAAATCTTGCACGAATTCGCGGCAACAGGCCCATCAGACAGAGCCTCCCGTTGTCCTGACGTTTATCCTGATGTCGGGATAGCACCCATTACGTTCTGGGCTTTTCCAGATAAGGTCTATGTTCACCTTTTCTTTGTAGCGCATTTGCGGATCCTACTTCCACTGCTTCCTCCCGCGAGTTGACATACGTTGCAACCGCGTACGTACGCACATGTCTTACTCTAAACTCCTACATCCGGAAAAATTCTACCGAAAGACCACACAGTTTTCTGTGCGTTCGGATAGGCTTGACGATAGAAAATACTAGGGCCTCAGTTGCCCGTGAAAGTACAGGTTGCGGTTTCTTCGGGCTAGAATGATAAAACGCCTGTCTTATCTGAATAAAATGCCGTTTTCACTCCAACTTTTTGCGATACAATAATTACTGTTGATGATATAGTTGGTAGTGCCATAAAAACTTGAGGTGACCAAGCTGGTGGGCTTGTCCGACGTCCAAACGGGACTTTTGTCGCCTAGCAGAATGGTGTTCACGTAACGCAGAATTAGAAAAAAAGTTTGCTTGGATCGCGCCCGTCAGTATCTGTCGCATCGGCTATATATATATATATATATATATACATCGAACCAACAGAACTAACCCGATGAAGTCATCTTTTCCCCAGTGAAAAAATTAGCAAAAGGCGCTAGCCTCGCCCTGCGTTAAATAGCTCTTAATTCAGGCTTTATACTTAGCTCCCTGAGCAGGTACCGTTTGTAACTAATGGACATTTTGCCAGCGTCATAATAATGGAAGTATTTTTCTTGCATGTTTACCTCCTTCGAAGGAAAGCGTTCATCCAGGTTGACCTCGAGGCTCGATGTTGCCGAGAGTTTTAGATTTCAACAATGAGTAAAATCCAACCTAAATCAACACATCTAAAGTTAATTTGCTTAACATTGTGATATGAACTGAAGTTATACGTATTTCTGAAAGAATTACCTCAACGACAATTTAACTGATATTATATACAATATCATTGTTTATAATAAATAATGTAAATTATAGCTTATGACCTATGTTAGAGTACAAATGTAATCCCATTTTACTGAATGCTTTCAGTTGTCATCAACAAGTCGTTCCGGATGCGTGCCGTTGAACAATTATATTTTGATGACCTAATATAATACATAGCAGTTGCGGCTAATTACTGGGTAGGTAAATGCCTTCGTACGTGGTACTGCGGGCGCCTTGATATATTCATAGCCACGGATCAATACAACGAATAGGTACGTTACCTCGTGCGTTTGCGTTCTCCTGTACTACAAACGGAATAAACGAGTTGAGCGTGTCGCTTTAACCCATATTTCTTCAGGTAATTTTTGGTGGTGGTCGAAAGCATTTTTTGCCAGTCAATACCCGGCCAACCAACGAACGGCGTGTGAATATCGACAATCCTGCTATTAACGGTCGTGGGGTAAGGACTGATGGTAGAAATCTGCTTGAGGAGTGGCTACAAAAGCATGAAAAGCTCAATCATACTGCCGCTTATCTCTGGAGCTTAAATCATCTTCGGATGCTTCACGAGGGCGATTACAATGAAGACTATATCCTTGGTAAGTCACGCGGCTTTATACAACCCGGAAGTCGCTCCCACCAATACCGAGCGATATATATTTATCTAATCAATGATCCAAGAAAAAATCTATGCACATCATAGGTTTTCATGTTCATGTATTAGTAAGTGTCTTTCTCACTTATACAACAGTCCAGCACGCCGACCATAAGAAACACAGGGTATTTTTGGGCTACAGTAGAGTGTGGAAGAACACGCTATGAAGAAACAGCAGAACAGAAGTCCTATAGCTTCGTTGTGAAAACTTCGCAATTTTCGCTATAGCTAAGTTAGCAATAGAACCTTTCCAACGCGTTTACCACCGTCGCGAAAAATATTTCGCATGTTTTTGGCTAAAGAGAAGTTCTATTTTGATTTGTTATTAGTTGAAGTTATAATGAATGTCGTTGCCCAACACAGATATAGGTAATGCAACTTTGCGGGCATGGTTGTCCGGGTGTAGCGGTTATTGAAGTTTCACTCAACCGAAAGTCTGTGACGAACTTGGGCAGTTGTAACAATGACGGTAGAGTCATCATTCCCAAGTCGCTTTATGGCTCGTTTTAATGTTGTTAGTTATTGCCCGTAAAAGTCCAAGTCAATCGTGCTTTCAGGCAGCGGCATCAACTTATAATGCCCGATTTCTTTCTAATCTTACCAACTACGTACCATCACCTGCTTTGACGTCACTTTGGGCTTTATCACATATTGCAGAGTATTGTCGTATGTGATCCAGTTTTCATCAAACGCTTCAGAAACAATTCAGTTCTGATGCATTTTTGTTAAGTTTCACAGGTGACGATACCTTCGAATCAATTCCTCTGCGTCAATTCAACAGGAATTGAAATGTGGTGGATGTTCTATTTATTGGGAGTATCATGGCTGTTCGCTTGTCGGTCTTGGTCGGCCGGCACAGTAATTTCATCAGCTTCTTCATAAAAGCATCTTTCAAAACCAAATTTTTAGAAAAACATCAAAAAAAAAAAACAGACGTTTGGGCTGCTTCTTCTGATAGCGTATCTTCACTACAAACAGCACAATTGTTTTTCTGAGCCTGAGCAGCTTTTGTGTTTTGTAAGAGAATTGTAAAGCTTAGCAAATTTTCACTTTCAAGGTCCTACATCTTAAATTCGAAATAATAAAAATTCCACCAGTTTTAGTTTAGCGACTTTTATAGTAGAAAGGACAGCTGAGAGCTGACGGTGGCCAAAGTCTTGTCGGCGTTATACAATAAACGTATTGTGCAACTCATATATTTCTATTATAAACGTTTACCAATTTCGGCTAGCTAGATGAAGCTGAAGGTACGTCAATTTCTTTTCTTTGTCACTTAAGTGCTGACCACATTAGCTAGTTGTTAACCCACGCTTGAATTACATTATTTGGAGACGCAGCCCCCTTTTCCTGCGCACAGCACAAAATGTGATAAGCGGACGGCGCGTACGCGGACAGCGTTTTCATTTCCGTTGCTACGTACTAAAATCTTTTACTTGACCTCAGGCGAAAGCAGAATTATTGTTGGCGCATGAGACTGGGCCTCGTTGTTCGAGAGAAACGTTCGGGCCGCGTCTGTGCATTGAGAAAGCACGAAGCTGTATGTGTCCAATGTAAGATAAGTTTATTTGGCGAGCGATGGGTGGCGGGTAATGAAGATAAGATAACTCTCTATGTACTTTACATTAATTAGGGGGGGGGGGGGGTGCATGTCCAGTTCGCACGGCCACCGAACAAAACGCGATCATATGCGACACGCTATCCTTGTCGGAGGTGAAGGAGGTAAATCTAAAGCGAGCATAATTTCCTTTTGTTCAAAGATCTTATCTACGTTAAAGGATAGTGCAAAATCTTATCAACTCTTTAAGCGAAAATAAAATATTAAAATAATCCATGCAGATACAGGCAACCTGCTAATTTATTTTACCTTGATGTACCGTACAAATTTATTTAGCTTGAGGAAGAAGAACTACACATTAAACGTATCCGGCATAAAGTCGTTCTTCATTATATGAAGAGTTCATATCGGAGTCGATGGCGACTATTGTTTGATTTAGTATCAAAGAGATTTAAAAATAGCCCATCGAATTGTTTGGTCGTATTTTGAGAGAGTATTAAAAATCTTGAGCAATGTAATGTATTCCCGAGAAACAATGCATCTCATTATGGCGCGATTTTTCGCAGCTTACAGCGTACTTTTATAGACATAATAGATAATTAATCACCTGGTTCAGACTCAGAGTTAATGGTTGAGCAAACTTCTCGCAGAAGGTTGATAAGTTCAGAAAAAAACCATTGACACATCGTATGCATAAATTTCGTCGATACTACAGTCTATATTTTCATGTATGACAATTGCAGTGGTGATGATTACGGAACAAGTTAATATAATTTTATATATATGTAATATTACAATCAATTGACTCATGAAATAAAAATACATAAACGGGTAGACCTGCTCACCAGCTTAATCCTAAGTAGTGTGAAATTTAATATTATTACATAGGATTTCTGTACCCGCGAACCGTCTTTGGCAACCTTCTACGTTACGGTGAGAGTATGCTGGCCACACTCGCACCACTGACTGGCTGTGCCATTGATACCGCGGTGTGCAGCATCTCTGCCTCTCAAACTTTGGGACACGTAGTGCCCAAGCTTTGAAAATGGGCACAGGTACATTCGTTTTATGCCGGTAGCCAGCCGTATGAAGCAATGTCGAACGCCTTAAGTACCGGACGTAAAACTTCCAACATACTACTGACCGGAATGGATCAGGGTTATTGCGTCATCGTTGTAGGATGCTAAACGTCTTTTATTACCGGTCTCCGCATTCAACTTCTGTTGCATATAAGTTCCTTGCTTTAGCTGTGAGTCCTTTTCTCGACCGTTAGCCAAGTTTCTCCAGTTACAACTTTAACTATAAAAATCTCTTGCCCCACAATTCCGTGCTTTTTCAAATATATCTGACAAAATATCCGTGTTTCAGAAACTAATTCTGTTAACAGTTGCCAGCTAGTAATTTTCTCTCGATCTCGACATTTCTATTGCTTTGGATTGCATTTTTAAATTGAAATTTATAGATAGTGTGTTTTACGACAATTGAACGGAGGCATAAAGAACCTCAAATAAATAGCTGAAGGAAAGCAACCCGTATCTGCATCTATATTCGCCTCTGTTGTTTATTGGCTTTTGTTATAAATCGTTATCACATCAGTTTTCATCTGGTCGTTCTTTCGACGCAGCCCGCAGGTACTAAAAATGGCCAATGTTTATGACTCAACCCAATGTACAAATGCACTATTCCCAGATATTTCAATGACCCGAAGCGCACAGGGCGCTATCTCGTTAAACACAACGAAGCCCATATTCTAAAATATAGGTAGCAACGAAGAATAGAATGTAACCGATCCATCCCAGTAGCCAGCTGCTGTGAAGCACTCGAAAGGATGAACGAAATTATCGCAGAATATTCATACCAATATTTTTATGTACAACAAGGTGCACCACAGTCATATCATTACGCATCCAGTCTAATAATCTATATACGTGCATCGTGCAGTATGCGTCGTTATTAAGGTTAGGCCAAAATATTTGAGATACGCCACAAGCCAGTATCTCGTAACCATGTAAAAGGTTACATCCATTTATCTGTGAAAAAATGTCTGATTAAACAGGGCGGGACGAAACTGATTGCTTGGATGAATATGTACGTGTATTTTTTTTCCAATTAATTTTTCGACGAAACAACCGCGAACGATAAGGAATGGCTCGATGTTTATTTATTTCTTGGCTGATCGGAAATCGAGGAAGGAATGTCCAGAAATGTTGTTTATAGGTATTTTTTTAATCGAATAGATTATATCATAAAAGCCAACTTAGGTATCTCAGCCTGTTCAGATATATCTGACAAAATGACACACATTACATTTTAAAGCTCTCTTGATTGATTTTAAAGCTAAGAATAACTGCATTATTTTTTCTTAGTAAAATAGATGAACATGTAAATTGGCCCAGGTGGGAGTGAACTCCCGCAAACGTGGCTCCACATGTCCACAGTACACTTTTATCGCACATGGATTATCGCGGCGGCATATCAGACTTGATAATTACAGTCGGTGGAAGTTGTTTTCGTTGACGTAAATCGTTCATTCGCTGCCACATTGAGTGTCATTTAAATGAAAATTTTGTTCCTACTGGTACATTAGTAATTTAATGTATATTTCTTGCAGGACTTTTCGCGTCGGAAGCAATGGTGTACTCGATGGACAAAATTCTGGCACAGAGCAACGGAGAAGAGATACCTGGGAAGGACCAGCCAACGCTTGAGGAAATGACAAAGGCTGCCATCAACAAACTCAGCCAATCGCCTTCTGGTACGTTAGCGGTCAGGATTCTAGTAGTTCGAGTAAAAACATTTATTGTACTTTGCTTCCGAAGTCCTTTAACTGCAAAACAGCTGTTTGACCTATAACCTAACGCGGGTGGAACCCGGTACCGTCACCATGCACAGATCGGTCCTTGCATTAGATTCTAGATGCTGTTATTAAAATTTTTCTTGCGGGCCACATCATTATCACAGTCTGGCGTTATCATTCTTATTAGAGACATTTAAACGAGAGAAATAGAGTAATGCTCTGATGCGCGTCGTACTTAGTCTGCAAGATACGTACAAGTAGGTATCTATGCTTGAATATGTACGCGTTCCCCTTTACATAAAAGACATTTGTTTCGTTAGGCCGTATTAGAACACTTTGAATTTCTAAGAAATTAAAGAACAGCAGGTCTGTTGGGGTGCGATAGGGTCATTGTCCTCTGAAACAGGCGAAAGTTGGCAATGCCAAGACGACTCGGCTAGAAGTCCTTGCGGCAGCCGCTCGTGCAGTCCTTTGGAGATATGTGCTTAAGTTGATATTAATGTTATTTCAGTTGAGACAGATAAATGTAGTCAATAGCTGTGGGTTGAAAACGTGTTATGCCGAAGCTGTCCAAGAAAGTTGCACTTGGTCATAAGTGCTTTTATGATAATTGTACTTTTAAATCGACTTTATTAGTCTTTTATCTTGTAGTCACTATGAGCGAGGTAACACAGGTAATCCTATGCGATTTAACTGCACATCGACAGCGAACGCTAGACTTTGTTCTAGTGCTAAACTCGAGCAATCATATTGGCAGAATAGTTTAGATAGTCGCAGCGTATTGTACACGTTACGTTTTACTCTAACCTTATTCAACTTCTTTAGGTTTATAAAAACTCACAATTATTCAGTTTCAACAAACGACATTTAGTGCCTTTTTGATACATCCTGAACAGCAGTCTACTGTGCGGTTGTATTTGAGCCGTCCGAGGAGCTTTCTGCTTAAAATAATTCGTAGTCTCGATAAAATAAGCTCAATAAAGGAAGCTAAAAGGCTTCGGCCTATATAGGAAAAAGGATTCGCTCAAACAATACGTTTAAACTGTCGGATGTTTAAAATTTCTTTCGAAAGAAATTAAAGCACTTATAAAGTTGATACTAAATGCAAAATTATCCTGTTTTCGTTCAATTTGACAGGCTATGTGTTGTTTGTCGAAGGAGCCCGTATCGACACGGCACATCACGAAAATCTGGCCGGCTATTCTCTTGAGGAGGTGACAATGTGTCAAAAATTCATTTTGATTAGAACACAAATACGCATTGACACCCTGTTCTCTCGTATAACAATAGATAAATGGCCCGACAATGTGCATCGATCTGGTAGATGGAGCAACAAAACAGCATATACCATAGATGTAAACGTATTAAAGATGCATGACATTTACGATGATGCTATAATTAACTACTGTTTTTACCCTTTCCGACATTTAATATTATCCTAAATATAATCCTTAAGGACCGGTGCTGATTGAGCGGCTAATGCACATCCCTTTCCATTGTGTCGCCATGGTAAGCATGAGTTAGCGACTAACGTTGGTTTATACGTCGGCGTTGATACATGGTTACTATAGCAGACGGTTATCTTACCAGTAAAATCCAACTCGACCGGCTATCTCAGTGCTTGAAACACTTTTTTCTCAAACTAACTTTTTAAATGTTTCAGTTTAAAATTATGATCGTGGTCGCAAAACTGTCAACTATAACCAGAAAATATCATAAAAATTATACGAATTCAGTAAATTCGCTAATAAAACACAAGGCATTGTTTAACACTTAACTGTTGTAGCGTTGGTCTCTTTCGGCTTTAAACGCTAACAGATAAGCTCGCAACAAACAGCCGTTCGTTATACACAATAAACAGATCATATATTAACGTGCGTCATTAGGTCACGTCTAGTTACCGTCGCCCTTTTGAATATACCCGTCTAATTTTTCTGGGTTTTAGGTGTACCAGTTCGATAAGGCAATTGCAGCGGCAGCATCCATGACATCCGAACAAGATACGCTCACTATTGTAACAGCCGACCATTCGCACGCGTTCACTATTAATGGATACGCATCCCGAGGAAATGACATTCTTGGTAATATTCTAGTAGACAATTATCACGCTGACAGCTGATTATATACGATATTTCGACTGGTATGCAGACCTATGCAAAACAATTTTTTAAAAACAAATTGTACAATGAAAAAAATCAGTGAACAGTTACAGATTGTTCGTGATCTAGGCGAGTATGAAGTAAGTTATTGCTAGGATTCTGTGGCGCACAATGTTTTTTTAACTTCTACTGCTTTCGATCTTAGTCGCAAGTCCTACCCCCGTTACTCAGCTAAAATGTAAGGTACAAAATATGCTACACGTAACATGTTTAATTGTTATATAAAAGTGCTCTTACATAAAAAGCCGTTTTTTGAAAAGCAACAATTAGTGCTACAAAAGCAGTGGCGATAATAGAATTTCCAGATATTAAAGATTTCTGTTGAGCACATTGATTTTTACAAAAAAAAATTAAAAAAAAACGAACAACCCATTTCTTAATAGCTCCCGGATACAGCTTGCCTGGTGGCAGTTACCTCCGCGTTACCTGGTTGTTTCAGGCACTAAGAAGCGCCCTTGATATGTAATACGGATTTGAACCGGCTAGACTGTAGGAAAAGTTATTGAGACCCGTAAACTACTATAAATTTTTTGTTAGATTGTGCGATGCGCTGCACAAAGCTATTAGATGGGCAAATTTTGGCCTAGGGAAATTCCGAGCTTAGCCCGCGTCTTTGAAATACAGAAAAATACGCAGTATTTCCTTTCGGGTCATATAATCTAGTATCTATTGAAGTTACTTGGATCGCCGAGCTGGTTTCCACCCGTTAAGCTTGCACAGCAAAATTCTTCGACTGCTGCGGACGCTGCATGTGCCAAACGAATTTTTTATACATTTAAATTACCGGTAAACCTGGCGGTGGTAACATGCTATATAATATCATATTTATTTCCTTTCGGTAAACAAATACTTGTCTAGATAAGTGTAAACGGAATAATACATTTGAAAAAACAAACTTTAATAAATCAGATTCTGGTTTTTCATACGCATTCAGCCTGCCGAGGGTCACCACATCGTAAGTGCCAAAGCGTCTAACGGGATTTTATTTTAAGAGATCTAGAAATCGTATGCTAAATTATTATACATTAAAGGACTTCAAAACCAAAGTTTAATATATATATGTATTTCGCAAAGAGCTGCACCGCTATAATGCAATAGCTATTTAGCTAAAAATTTTAGTGGAAGTAGTTGTTGGATCAAGGGTTCAAAGATAAGATAGGAGTTTCTTGCATGATTAAACAACTATATGGGTTAAGCTTTCGTCCCTTATCGGTTACACAGCTTTTGATCAGTTCTATTCCGGATATCATTTTAGGCCATGCCGGAAGAGACATCAACAAAAAACTCTATAGCACATTGAGCTACGCTGCTGGACCAGGGTTCAGTCTCAACGAAGATGACGAAGACCGGTTTAGTAAGTACCTGACTGGCTTTACCAATTTAGCAATGCAACTACTTTGTTAACCCCCAATGCATTGCTTCTACAAATACACACACTAGGCGAGATTCCCCTTTAGGGGGTGATTACGCAGACAGGTTTCATATGAACGAAGATGTCCCATTATAAAAAACCTCCATCGTTTAGTATAACGTCCTTTCTTTCCTTTATGAGTTTTTGTAGTAATATAATGCTCTTCTTATCTATTGTAGCGATGGTGAATCATTTTCTTCAGCCGGCTATGATGCATACGAAAAAAGGAGTCCATGGCGGCGAAGATGTGGCTGTCTACGCAAAAGGACCTTGGGCTCATCTTTTTACGGGTACCCACGACAACACCTATATACCACATGCCCTGGCATATGCTGCATGTATCGGACTACGTGTGGGTCATTGCGATCGCAGAGGTCCATTCAATAGATACGCACATGTTAGTGGCGCTCTGCGAAGAAATGCACGTGACCCTGTTATAAGCAAGTTCGCCGCTGCAAGGTAAATCAGCGGCAGGCAATCGTAGCTTTTTATTTTGCCTTTGTTTTTTTATTTCTGCATGAATCTGAGAAGCGTTTTAGGGTATTGAAACAGCTGCGGTTTTGGCTGAGATAACGGGAGACGTTGCTCCTAGTGCCCTTACGCTTAACGAGACACAAACTTCAAAATGTGTTGATCTTTGGTGCGGCCAGTTACCCTACAATTAATTAACATACAAATTACGTATGCTTTCTGAGAGCAATATACCAAAACCGGATACACTTGTCGGTAAAATCTCAGAATTTAAGCTCAGATGTACACCAATAAATTACTTCTGCTTGTTACGAGAATATTATTTTCTCCACATGAGAGCACCTAAATTAATGGTTACATAGACTAAGGTATCAAAGGTTTTGCTAGTCTTTTGTCTGCCGGGGTAGAGTATGCTCGCTTAAACATTTTACAGTATGATGATCTGGTCTATAGGCAATGACTGCACACAGTGGTGCAGCTTAATTAGTCTTGGAATGAATGGGTTACAAAAACGTAATATGTTATATTTGGATGAACTTCTAATGTCGATAAAAACAAGCTGCATAAAAACAAGTCATGTTCCAAAGGACCAGTTGTAACTGGCGAATAAACTACAGCTTTTTGCATCAGGCCTGTGAGTACACTATGTACCTGTTAACAGCTGTTCATATTTCTCGATTTCTAAGTACCGTCGTCATTTACTACGATAAGCTGAAGTTCATTTTTTCTGTTTGCAAAGTCGTTGTGGGAATAGATTCGATGTTTCATTTAGTACTCATCTGGTATCGATAATTAATAACATACCTTGATAAAAAAAAAAAACTGGAGATTGCTATTTAATGTTTTGTGTCGGTCCAGACTATTATCAGGGATCTTCTAGCTGGTTTGCATGTGCCCCACCCATTCACCGGCCTGTTCTCTAATGTAATCACACCTAGGTAAAAATAACATCGGTGTATTGAAATGTTCTGCGCTGGATACCTGCGCATACGATAGCTAAATTGCAATACTCATAAAGCTTTTTAGGTTAACTACCACTACTACCTTGCTAATGTACAGCATAGAACATTAGGTGAGCATCTATCTACGCCGTCCTCCCTACACGCTCCTAAAGTTTTTCGATTCATATATTTTCTATATACACATATTCGATTCATATATACATTTTATATTATTATTTATTTATATAATTCATTTTGTTACGCGAATCGTACAATGCCCTCCAAAGTTCGAATATACATGTGTTTGCCAATACTTTAACATGAACACGTTCAGTACATCACTTCGTATAATGGTTGTTTATCGACCCAATTGTCGCTGACCTCATGGCAGGTTAATCCTTAATTAACATCGTGCTGTGGCTGCGGCCAGTATCGAATGGGCTTGTTATCTACAAAAGTCCCCTTTGTTATAACCTTGAATGCTCGAAGTGGAATAGCCTGTGAAATGCACTCGGTATTGTAACACTCATTCATATTCTGCCCTTCTTCGTACGTCTTTAATCCAGCAACCTAACGATGATCGATCATATAAATGGACAAACAATCGCACCTGACGTGCTGAAAAATCCACCTCCTCGACACGTTGTGGTAGAGCTTCCAGGTGAATTACGTCAATCTATCAACCGAGCTCCTCGTCAACATCTGCCAATGGCAAGACGCGCTGAAGACGCTGAAGTACTCGTTTCGCGCCGAAATGAGACATCAGCCTTTGTCACGAATAATCGCAGCCCACAGGTGCTCTTGATAAGCTGAAACTATCTGTTATTAACCTATCGATATATGGCTGAGAGGAAATGAAGTCCATCAATGACAAGAGACCATTTACTGTCGCTACTCTTTGTTTGTGCTGTCTGCTACCGCGCATGCCCCATCTCTATATATTAAGTATTAATAATCAACTATTTTATGTTCAGCTAAAATGTCGTGACAGTATACTTGCGTATAGTTATGAAATTAAGCAATCATATGTGGCTAGTCTTTGGAAATAACTATTTTCTAAGTTAGCGTAAAAAAATGTAGTTGACCTTATAAGATTCAATGCTGCATCCTGAACACATTTAAAATTTCGGTTGTCAAGAAAATCAGTGAGATGATTTCGGTGGAACTCGATGTTGCTGGTGAACTAGAATCTACACATTTTTCGTATGAGGGTGAATAAATTAACCATAAATGTCGGGACCTTTGTATATACAGTATGAAGGTAAGATCTTAAGGTCATATGTATGAGTCGATGTCGGGGGTAAATTGGGATATCATTGATGTCGTTCCTCCATGAGCTGCGCCTAAATGAAGACAGACATTCTGAGGTAATTTTTTTTCAACCTGAAGACGTAGATCTGCCGTTCATGTTCCTCAGTCAATGTTCCTGCCGTTCGTTTCGAACAATGTGACCTCAGTTCGGAGTCTACGTGGCCCACTAAGTGGCTAAATTATTTTTAAAAAATCCTCTAAAACAATGAATAACTATAGCAGTATCTGACGCGATGCTGATACCGTGAGATTCGCTAGAGGTTTGCTCACGTCACGTATAATGCGCCTAGAAGTAAGTCCATAATGCTTGAATGGTCACAAAGCCGGTTCTAGGTATATTTAGATAACCAGTAAATTTTCCGTTTTACCAAAAAGCATATTGTCTTCCATTTAACAAATTATTGATCCGCGGTTCCGCTACGGCTTATGCACTACTTCTAAGCTACTTCTTTTGTAGTGCTCTCGCCTTTAGAAAGAAATACTATGACCTGATGTTATTCTCATTAGTTCTTAGTGACCCTTCGAAATCGAACGCAGATTGACGCCGGCGGAAATCGCTAACGTTGGACTTTCCGACTGAAAAAGCTTAAAGCCGCACGTACGGTTCTTTTGGCGTTAAGACATTGGCCACTTTTTCGCTCGTATTTCCAAAGTGGATTTCCTACCTCCTGTATGAGGAACCTGTAGCTTTTGTCTACAATTGATAATAGCGGTTGAACGGATCCCCACTATGGCCCACAAATTTCGAACCCTGTGTATAGCCTACTGGCAGTTGATGACAACAGTATTGCCGTTTGAAAATTGCTTCAAATATTTATTAGTCGCATACATCTGCGATACAGATTAAAAACAAAGGCAACGTGTTCATCAGTATAATCCGTATGTTTACAGTTATTCTGTTTTCTAACAGCAGTGACACGATCTTACAGAAATCCCCCAATCGTCTCACGCAAGGTCGAAGAGTTCATAAAGTCGCCAAGAGAACAAATCCCTATGGCGCATCAATAGGAAAGCATCCAGAGCAGCAGCAGCAGCAGCAGCAGCTGTGGCAACATCAAGGATTAAATACAATGTTAAATTCGCACGGTACGTTCGTTAAGTCGTGATCGGAAGCTTATCTTCATGATCATAAGTGGAAATCAGTTATCTAAATTTTTTTTGTTAGGATCCCGAAATGGACGGTACCAATTGGTTGCCATTAAGTTGCGGAATAAAATCTCTCTCTCTATAGAACCCTATTTCAATTGCTTTCCAGACTCGAGACTTAAGATCGTAGATTATTTGAACGCTTCAAATTAGACTATGTGTAAGGTGTTCATAAAAATCAGAGGTATTTTTTGTGTCTAATCAACTAAAATTAACAGAAACACCGCTATCGATAATCGTTTTTTATATGCGTTTTCTTAAATGACACTAATAATATAAAATGGATGAATATTCAGCCTAAAAATCGGCCGTGTAAAACATTTTTACTATGTTGAAGTCACGCCATGTAGGTACTGTACCAGCCTTAAATATTTATTTTCTACTGTATATAGCAATCTAACCTATCTATTGTGATATTGTAACAACTCATTAATCAAACCAAATAATAAATGAGTACAAGTTACGAAGTAAAAGTCTCATCTGTGCTGATTTCGTTTCGTTACGTGTAAAATTAGTGTATGACATTTTTACTTGATGTAAAGCGACATTTGTTCTTTCGTTTGCGACCAGTTACTTGACAGTCTCTAATTTGCCTTACTTGTGTATGTGTAATATTATAATTAGAAGAATCGATAATTTAGCGCATTTGTAATACGCGCAGAGTATTTATCTGAACTTAAACAACTAATCTAAAAAAATTTTCTAAAATTCTAAAAAAATAAATAACATCACTTGATTGAATGCTAACCCAAAACGTCTATTAGTAGGTAGAAGATTTGACAAACAAAGTATATAGGTAAGGTTTTTCCACCCTTATTGTTATGCAGGTTACCATATTCGCCACTTATAAAGTGTCGATAGCTCGTGGGTTAAAACTCAATGCAAAAAACACATACGCAAAAGTACTGCAAATAAGACGCCAAGTTTAAAATGGTTGAGTTCGTGATGAAATGTAGATACGCTCAAAGGTCGGTTCACCTTGATTCCGTCTTCTAGGGCTAAGAAGTGCTCTTCTGTTAGGTCTAAAGTCCCTGGCGACAATGTACAATAAATGGCGCATATGTGCTAATTAATTAGGCCTATGTTGCTGATGATGTATCAAGGTACACGTCCGACCACTGATTTAATAACATGCAAATTATATTCGTCGTTTTCTCTCAAATCAAACCTCACCATTCAAAATCTCACCATTTTTAGCATAAGTGAAAGATTTGACAAGTAGCGCGTTTGAAGCAGAGCTCGATTCTCATAGAAATTTCCTGTTGTAATCGAAGTCTTCCTACGCGTAGCAGCCTGAATAGGGACAGGTGGGCGCCCATCTTCGAAGAGGAAGAACACAACAGCACGCTCATATGCTCGATCATCACTTATTTATATACTCTATCCTATAACGTTGCTTCCATTTACGAAACGACCGAACTTTCGATAGATCTAAAAAGTTTCGTGTGTCTTAATAAAGGTTATGTTTTTGCCGTATAATTTATGAGTGGACTCTCGCAATGTACATAAACTATTGTATTGTGTACATCGTTTATACAACAAATACCTAAAAGACAACAAACATAGGTTTTAGCCCTTTACAAAAATATTGTATATTGGTAGTCTTTGTAACTAAAAATTGTTTGGAACTTTCAAAGTGCATTTTTCAGTCAATCGGATAGTTAACGAAAGAACTATACATATGCTCAGTGTGCCGTCATAATAATTTCATCCGTAAAATGCTTATATGCTGTTGCGAACCATCCTTTTGCTGTCATCAGAACCGCAACACGGGAACTCGACTTCATTTTCAATCGACGTTATCCAACAGCGTTACACTTTGATTTTCTGATATTTGTGAAGTGTTAATAAAAGGTCTGCTAATCGGGACCGATCAAATGGGTTAGGTTAGGTTAAGTTAGGTTAGGTTAGGATTCTTATAAGGTAAGTAAGACAGCGTATTTTAGAGGTACAAGGAATGCATTCTACGAAAAGAGGTATACAGAGGAGACGCAAGTGCACGCTTGTAGCGCTGGTGACTCAACACGACTAAGCCCGGCCATAGAACCTGCCAGTTTTGGTCCAAGTCCATCGCAAAAGGAAACGAACTACAACCCCTACAATGGCGGAATCTTGGTGCTTTATAAGCGTTAAGCTACGGACGCATTCCGCACCACGTGGAGGACAACGGTATGGTTTTGTGTGGCCCTTGAATACGGCTTGTAGCGGCGTATGTACGGCCACATCAGAAGGAGTGCATTCCAAGTCTACAAACCGTGGAGCTCTCGTCATCATAGCAGGAAACTTCCACGCGTGCCTAGACAAATGCGTTAAAAAGAATCACTCTTTTTGTCGGAAAAAAACAGCCTCGGGCACGGATTAAACTTTGAGGTCTCCTCAAGACTGTCGCTAGTTCGGGGGACCAAATTTACATTGGGCACATTGGACTTAAAACTCTTGGAGCAGACTCATAATGTCTTCTCAGTACTAAACTCAATTGATGTTGAGATCTATTCCCGTGCTCTCGTCAACATCCTGCAATCCTCGATTTGTTCAGCTCTCAACAAGAGACATCGGTAATGGTTCACATATGATTGCCACTTCGGCCACCTAGGATGTCTTCATGCTACTGACAAGACTACAGTCGTAAACGGGGCCAGTGGCCGTAGCGTTCAAAATGATTTGCCGGAAGACATATCCTATCCAGCGCAAAAAATACCTGAAACGGTAGGAAGCTATTTCCATGAGAGAAGTCGGCCGTCGTTTATATAAGTGTATTGGCCCCACAGGTGTGTATTGTGTTCCATTGCCTCATCAGTGTTTATCGGCCAATTCGTTAGAATGTTTTCATCTAATGACACCTCAGGGGGATCTTACCACTCAATGCAGCATCAGACAACCCGACAATGGGCTAACGTGAAAGGCTTAGCCAGGAGTTCTGCGTCCTGAAACAGACTCAGCTGCTCGAAATCCTACACTAAAAAAAGACCACCGAACAGGGCAGTGTTCGAAATGAACACCCCAAAGTTGATGTGGGGCGGGCGTCGTGCTAGACCGCTTATCCGGGTAGTTATTGGCAAAGTGAAACGCGTCTCGTTATCCCAAATGGTAAAGGCCCAAGTCAGTCGACGTCGTGGCCGCGTAACTGCGAAGAAAGTATCTGCTATAAACTTCTCTCGTATCTGCATGCAAGGAGATTGAACGTGTTTCTGCGAAGCGCGAGTGCGACACCCAAGGAACGACATGAATTCAGCAAAAAGCCTTCGGTCCAAACAGCATGCAAAATCCTACTAGTTGGAATCAAGCGAATTTAAAATAGTTTTCGGCAATATACCTACGCAAGCAACTTCGCCTTAAGCATCCTCGCCCGTTCCCGCAACCGTGCTTAAGTTAATGGCAGTGATACTCCAGAATAATAATGCTACAATCGATGAGGGGTCTCAACGCTGCCAGCGCTCTTTCAAATTACAAGTGTGATCCAGCAGGTGTGGCCCTTTTTTCGTCTCATTTAAGGGTCTTTTGAACAAGATATGTAGATCCAGAAATACGATGAAGGTTTTCTTCTAGGCGTACGAATTTATTAAAGGGAGTATCCACTTCCATGCGTAGTAAGCCTAAGCCATATTACATTCTATCGGGCGGAATTGGGATTGCCGTCAGTCTAACCAAAATTAATACAGTTAAATTCAGGAGAGGTAGCATAGTTGCGATCCGTGACACGCTGTACCTCTCTGGCCGACCGCTGATCGATTCATTTAGGGTAGGTAACCTTATATAATGGTCACAGTTTTATCTCACTCCATTATAAAACGATACAGAAAAGCTCTATTTTGCAAGTTCTCCACCTCAAAATTACATCAGTTCCCGTATACGGGGTGAGCTTAATATGAAATGATCTCACAATGGAGAATCTCAAGAACTTAAATTAGACGAAGGCCCCAGAAAAATCTCGGTGGTGCACTGGACGACTCGTAACGGACCTCCGTCGCCGTTTGAACTTATTGGCAACTCCAATGGTTCAAGAAAGCCTTGCAAAATTGCTATGTAATTCGATTAGCAGAGACGGGTCCCAAACTCTGTGAAGCAGGCGCTATAACGGATTGTATGAAAAAAATTTGACCAGTCTAACAGAGGTGTAGTGATGTACTATGCAGGTCTATGCGCGGCTTTTACTATCGCCTAGGCAGAGTATGGGAATTTTAGCAATCTAATAAATATTGTATTTGTACCAGGTGTAGACGACCTCGTAATCTGTATCATGCTTCTTCCTGCTCACAAGTTCAATCGCTAGACAGTTCTGCTTAGTAATTGACTAAACAATAGCAATAACATGGTACATTATAGTACAATGCAGTCATTAGTAGGATCTGAATAACCCGATGAATCTTAAATCGACTATAGCAGGAACTGTATCATACCTTAACCTTAGCTTAGATCATGAAGCCGTTATATGTATAGTTGCGTAGGATAGCATATAAAGCTTAGTATGCCATGTTGTTATAATATATATAAAGTTCAGAGCTCTATCTGTCGTGAATAAATGACTTACATTGGTTGATTAAAAAAATGCATTCTCACGAAAATTGGACATTAAATGTTAATTTCGCATCAGCGATTGACCGCTAACTTTCTGCTACATCTCAAGGGAACACAACCATATGTAGCTGTGTTATAATTAATATCATATACTTGACATTTTATAAAGATGATGACATTATAATGTTTTCTACGAGATTAAGAAGCAATACATATATCGTCACAGCTTGAAGACCCCAGTCTGCCTTCGAACATTCTGTATCTCCCAAAAACGTTCTAATCCTTTTCAACTGCCAGGTATCTCCCGGTCACCAAACACCTAGAGCCATTTTTCTTCCGTTACACTGTATATATTTTAGAGTCGCAATAAACTTTTGCGTAGTTCTCAATTCAGTCGGTTTTTAATGCCCGTATTTCCACCTTCGCTTCCTTCCGCTGTTTCTGCTCACTCCGGTTTAACTGGGCTAACAGTCAATATAATCAATGACCATCATGATGAGGTTAGCGAAGATAACGAGGTTGGGGATAGTGGCCGTGACCTTGGCCTGCTGTGCGGTGAAATTTAGTCTGCTGACACTGAGTTAGCAAATAATCAAATAATCAACACGATACTCACAAAGAGAGAGCTATGGAACTTCTTTTGAAAATTAAAAAAAAATAGGGGGTTTATTTAGTTAAGATAATTTGAAAGAGTAGCTCAAACTACTTTAAGATGCGATTTTAGTGTAATCTGAGTATGGAAATTACCCTACCTACAGTTACCTACAACAGTCATATCTGACAGGGTCGCGCCTATGTAGAGTTTTCGAATTTCGACATAATTTTTATTCTATGGAGCAATCACAAGATTGATAATCACGAGGGAAATGCTGGGAAAAATTCTTTATTAAAACCATTTTTCCCCTAACGAGCCATAGGACTCCCGTAAATGTACCTTTGGGCCTAGAAGAC